GTTGTTGTTGCTGTGGCGCTGCATTAAATAATCAGCTTGATAACCCCGCGTGGTTTTCGCTGTGGTTGCGCACTGTGGTTTCGTATGGCAATGGGTGCTGCTGGGACCACCGAACCGAACTAAAAAACCCAATTGAAGCTGACGCTAAAAAAACTGAAAACTGATAATCTGTCAAACATACACACACATGCACAGTTATGCATGCATGTGTGTGTGTGTGCGTGTGGAGACACTCACAAATATTTATTTTTAATGCCCTATTAAAATAGAACTCACCAAATGCGATTGCGTTCATCGATGAATAAACAAATACAAAATTAAGTTTGCTTATCACCTATGCATGTATGTGTGAATGTGAACACACACACACATTGATAAGGCAACAGTGACAGCTTATGCATGTGTCAGAGTTCAAAACTGAGCATTACGTATGTATATCAAATGGAATACTTAGACAGCTCTAGACAAGCGTTTAACGCATTTTAAGTATCAGTCGTTGCTCGTTATCAGCAGGTCAGAGTCAGCTCACAGCCGAGAGCCCGGCTCGATGTGGAGCAACGTTGTCCAATGACAATCAACGGCTGCACACAGAGCACATTCCTAAGAATGTGATTATGCCCATAATCAAGAAGGAAAACAAATGAAAAATGATTTGGAATATTCTTGAGTAATTTTATAGCTGATATTGCCTCACTTGGAAGAGTCATAAAAATGTACAATTAAAATATTTCAAATTAAATTTGATTTGAGCTCAGCTGCAAAATGGAAATATATTTCATAATGTTGAACAATTTAGAGTTCTATATAAATATATAGATTTTTGACTTAAGTGATTTTATTTAAGTTTTAAATAATAATTAATATGTATATATGTATACATTTTATATATTTTTTTAATATACATCATTTAATATAATTTATTTTTATTTTAAAATTTGTATAAAATATATTATCACTTTTTATCATTTTTTAAAAAGTATTTTTTTTTTTAATTTTTATTTTATAACTTTTTTGACAAAATATAATTTATAATATTATTTTTAATTACTTTAATGTACTGCATTACATTTATTTTTACTAATATTAATTTTTAAATTATTATTTACATTTATTTTATTAATTAATATTCATTTTTTAATTACTTTTTACAATTATTATATTATTTTGTACATCACCAACTATTTATAATTATTATTTAATTATTATTATTATATTTATAATCATAATATACTAAATATTAGAATAGATTTTTATTATAATATATTAAAAATATTACTAACCTGTAGTTTGAATTGTATTCTAGCTGCTGTGGTCTCTAACCATGATAGTATCCAAGTTCATTCTATAAAAAAAATATATACATATATTAAAATATTTTGTAAAAAAAATCTGTTTTATTTTCTCATAATTAAAATATATATACATATATTAAAATATTTTGTAAAAAAAATCTGTTTTATTTTCTCATAATTAAAATGCTTAATAAATTAGTATATATATATATATATATATACATATATTCTACGTCCATATATTTTCCTTATAAACTTGTATTTATTCTCTTTATCATATTCATAAATATTATTTGAAAATTATGTGTTTTCTGTCGCATGTTTATTGCTTAGGGAATAGACATAAACTTAAAAA